ATTCAAATCAAAATAAATCAAATGTAAATAATTTTCTCTCAGAAAACATTCTTCTCATCTTCTCTTCTTTTAGATCCTTTTTTACAAACATTCAAAATTATCTTCCATATATATTCAATAAACTATTAATTACCTCTAACGTAACTTTACTCCAAAGAAAATATGATTCAATGTAAATAATTTTCTAGAAAACATAGATGTACATATACATTTATTCTCATTCTTCCAAAATAATATACGACTGAGTAGTATGAGGCTATTAATATCACTTCTCATTAAGATACTTCTCATTAACTTAACATTTTTACATGTCACATATATATTTTCAAATTTTGCACAAATATGTGCAATCCAGTTATCTCTGTTATTGGAAAACTTCGAAAATCTTCGATGAGAGGGGAGGGAGAGGGGAAGGAACGTGTCGAAAATGGGATGGAAAAGGGTTGGATCGTGAGACGAGGGTTGAACAGGGGAGGGACGGCGAGTTGGAAGGGCAATATAGGTGCACGCACGATGGAATTGTGGCTCGTTTGAAGGTTCACGCCCGAAGAACGGGGTTAATGACAAACCCCGTACTCGAGACCGTTTCGAAATCGATTCGTGTTCGATGAGAATGCGCTGATTCGAAACGGAAAACTTGCAACTATCGGCATCCAGGGGAGAGGGATAAGGGTTGGATGGGGATGTGCCCCTTTGAGGGAGAGATCGGAGGCGGCGCTTATTGCGCGACGCCTCTGAGTGAAACGATTGAAAAAATTATATTTATATATATATATAGTGGAATATTTGCTCGATTTAGCGATATTCAATTAACGATTTAAATCATACTCTATCCTTTTAATCTCCACTTTCGATTCGTGTGAAATCGATATACTTCAAAAAATTTAGATTTTCTTGTGTCGATGATTTTCAATTCGTGAATCGCCATAAATTGTGTATTCCATGCGCTATGAAATCATCAATGATACGACATTAAAACAAATCAAAATCGGGAAAAAATAAAATCAGATTAAGGAAACAATTATTAAGGGTTAATATAATTAATTCTTAAAAGCAGTACTCTTGAATATTTTGTAATTTTTTAAATTTTTCTTTTATATATATATAAGATTGTAATTCAAGAAAGGTTGAAAAATATTAACTTATATCGGTATAATTTTCGATTTTTAACACGTGGAGGTACGCATGCTGTTTTATAAAACGCAAAACGGGAACTGGAAGTATTCGATGAGGCGTGAGCGCTCGTTTCAGAATCGTAGTCGCAATTAAAAGCGAATATTAATTAGGGTCAGGGCCCAGTGCCATCAGGTGCATCGATCGCAATCGAAATGGTCAGTTATACCAATTGAATTGCCACATTACGCACACAAGTTTATTATTATCTTTCGTTATTATTCTTTATGGTCTCTTTTCGGCATTTAAATACATATATAGAATCAGGTAAATAGAATCATTTAAATCATTTAAAAAATTTCTCATCATTTTTTCAAATATGATAATGGAGGTATAAAGGAATGTCAATTATAACTTTATTTTTAAAAGATTTTTGATAATTTTGAGATTATGAGTAATATGAGTAAAAAATGTTGTTTGTTTATTTTTTATAATATACAATATTATCCAAAAAAATTTTCGTTTACTAATTAAGATTGTATTTGCTTTCAAATACTTTATTTCTCTATCTTCCTTGGCAAAAAGTTGAATACATTTTCTGGAACCCACCCAGGTCCATTCTACGTTATAAAGTTTAACGTACCATGACTGCTAGGTATTATCATTTGAGAATTCTAACTTAATTTCGTGTTACTGCTAATTACTCATATAAATATCACGCGCTTTACTTTAAATAAAAATATATTTTAAAATGTTCAAGAATGTATTTAAAAAAAAGAACAATTTTCAAATAAACTAAAGAATGCTATAGTTAATCGAATATCTTAGAAACACGTTGTTTAATTTTCACAAATTACCATCTAACGCAAAGAGAAAAAGAAAAAGGAAAAAGAAAAGCGAGACTAGCGAGGAGGAAAAAAATTCCAACTAAACTTCCACGAACTTTGCGAGTCTGGTATCGATGAAGGCAAGGAAAGAACTTCAACTTTCAAATTTGCCGCGTCGGAAAATTTAAATCTCCCGCTCTTTCTCTTTAGAACCAACGATAATTTGCCAATTTTCTGATAACGCTTGAGAATTACAAAATTTCTACTCCACGTGTAGTATTCAATTATTTCTCGTATATCTTGCTTATTTTTCTCACTCAAATCCTAACTTTCGTGATCACCCATGTTATCAACTGAAGGTCAATACGTATTTTACACATATGAAGATTTATAAATGAAAAAATTCAATTTCTTATACTCTGCACTATAATTTAAAACGAGATTTCTTGATGATTCACGCATGTGCCGTGTGTAAATACACGTGTCTCTTTATTACACATTCCAAAACTATGATCCCTAGCGTAAACAATAAGACGCTTATCCACGCTGCTCGAAATGGAAGAAGTTCCTCGGATTCGTGAGCGCATGCGCAGCTCGCCCGGCGAGGAGTGTATCAAAGCTGGAAGCTAAGACAAACAAGGTGATACAGTGACGGCAATCCTCGAAGCTTGTTCCAAAGTACGAAAGGAAGGGAGAGGTTGGAAGCATTTGCATCGACGCAAACACGGAAATCCCAATGCAACCTGTTTGCCCTGAGTGGAAGTTCCCTGAATGTAATGGAAGTCTTTCCGTTAAACGTTGTCTCGTTTTCGTTTTTGTTCTCCTCCTGTCTCCTTATCGCAAATACCTTTCCAGTTATCGATACACAGTATACACAGCTAAAACTAAATAGATAACGTTGCTTTGAAAATTGAGAAATGCCATTCTTTAAAAAAAAAAAAAAAAAAATCAAAAATATTCCGAAACACAAACACAATTACCTTTATTCACTCTCTGCTACTATTACGATTTTGCTTTATCCGTTGCCTAGAAAAAAAAATCGCACGTGCGCAAAAATCGGTATCCAGAACTGAAAGCAAAAAGGGGATATCCGCCACTTCCGCGTCCGATCGATATGCACTTGCGCGGGGGTGGATGGAGCCGAAAGGTAACGCGGCGTACCGAAAGGCAAACAAAGTGATAGGAGAGAGGGAGAGTTGCGTGGAAGAGGAGAAACGAAGATGGGGGGGGGGAGAAAGTTGTATAGATGGCAAAGGAGGGTTAGAGGAACCGCGTGAAGTATGTAAAAAGGCAAGCAAGCGGGGCGGCTGCACGGCGCCGACATTTCGCGGTGATGCGACCGACCCCGTAGCCATGCATCACACTGTCCCACCTAGGACTACTCTCTATGTACTGTTCACCGTTGGAAAAAAAGTCTCGTGGAATGCCGCGGTCTGATTGGTTAACGTGGAAGGAAACGCCTATTTTCACACGTATATTTGTTTTTAACGTGGTATTTGTGACGGAGGCAATAAAACAACTGTATCTGCAATTAGGGTATATACATAACGATCGATATGATATAAAAAAATTTTTATCTGTTATAATATTCATATATGATTTGATTTGTAATAGTTTGACTTGTAAATGTAATTTCGTATTCGAGTAAAATAATGATTGTATATGTATAGCTAGATATATTATAAATATAATTAATTAATAGTTAGAAAATATTTCAACTTTCAGTTTTAAATGATTATCCTAATATAACTTAACAAATGAAAATAATTTTTACGATTTTGAATATTCAATAAATTATAGCTCTTCTATGTAGCGTGTGGTGTTAGGTTTGTCAACAAGGTAATAAAGATTCTAGCGGAGGACCCCTCTTGCCCCGCACCGTCCCGCGAGACTTTTTTTCAGCAGTGCCACACTATCCTCGTCCGATCCTCTATTCATTCTTACTCTTTTCCTCTTTCTCCTCGTTCTTTTGATTCTTCCTTATTCTTTACTTCGTTGCGTTTCTCCATTTCCTATCTCTGCTTTCTTCCTCCAATATTTTCCAACCTGTTCCACCGTATAAAACTCAACCTCGTTTTTTTTTTTTTTTTTTTTTTTTCATCTTTTCTCAATCGATGTGTTCTCTCAAGCCCGTTGTCTACGAGCCTTTATTTCTCTTTGGTGGCTTCTATTGGTGCTGAACTATCGGTCATCCGCCTTTCCCATTCCCGTCTGCTTCACATCCTTTTTTTTTTTTTTTTTTTTTTTTTTCATCTTTTCTCAATCGATGTGTTCTCTCAAGCCCGTTGTCTACGAGCCTTTATTTCTCTTTGGTGGCTTCTATTGGTGCTGAACTATCGGTCATCCGCATTTCCCATTCCAGTCTGCTTCACATCCTTTTTTTTTTTTTTCTTTTTTCTTTTTCCCGCGTTTTTACAATAGGTCGTCATAAAGAGACCGTCGTGTTTCTTCGAGCAATTTACCCGTTTTGTCGCATGACCTCCGAAACAACCTCCCATCACGTTTCTCTGTGTCTCTCCTTTTGCACCCCGCCTTTCGTGCCTAGAATCGTTTCTTCGCTACATTGTTGTTGTCTCACGGCCAACGAATGGCCAAGAGGTGTGCTGCAGAATCGGCTCGAATCTAAACTTTGGAAGAAGTAATTTGTAATATTTCGAGGAACACAATAACCCCAGAAATTATCAATAGATGCATAATAAAGAAAACCTGAATGAATTTTCGTGCACAGAAATGATGAAAGTGGAAAAAGCGATCAATAGAGTTGAGATTGAAATTGTTGGACAATAAGATTTTTCTTTGACATTTCTAAGTCAACTTTCTCAATACCTATAATAATTTGAACAAATCTATATATCGTTTCCAGTTAAATAATATTTCATCCGATGTATATTCGCGTTTTCGATTAAATTCCCACGCTTTCCTGTTTGTCTCCATCTATTTCAACAAACGGGGACATCTTTAATCCGAAATTCCACGCAAAATCCCCCAAGGTGTGTCGGGGGTTTTCCATGGATTGTTTTAAACCGTTAAAACGAGAAGGGCGCGCGACCGGAAGTGTTTCTGGTTTCGCCGTTCTTCGGGATCCAAAATATCTTTTAAAGATGAAAAGAGTCAGAGAACACGTATAAAAGAGAGAAGAGAGATTCACAAGTGGAACAAGGACCTCTCTCTCTCTCTTCGTGACAGCGCAGATGAGCGATGGTACGACTTTTCTTTCCGCCAAGAATATTATTCCGCTTGTTATGGGATATCGACGGTATTTTTCCGTCAACTGGGAACAATCACGCTGTAAATGTATATTTTGACGAATGTGTGACTGAAATCTGAAATTGTTTCTTATTCTTTGCATGAAAATATCGTGAGAATGATTGTTACTCTTGGCACAGAAGGATGCATAGGGGAAATAGCTTTGATTAGAAAAAGATGAATTAAGTGATATTTCGTTTAATTCGAAAATAAAGTAAATGGAATATGTTAGGAAAATTTGTATGGAAAATATGTAATATTGAATAATGTTTAAATTTATCAACATCTATACATCTCCAAAAAGGAAATAACGAAAATTTAAATAAATTAGTACATTATGCATTCCATATTTTATGAAAATATCTTGGCACAGTTTAAAGCATCGAGCTAAAAAA